GTATCTTAACTTGATCTTCCACTGTAGAGTGGACCAGGCTCTAGAGTAAGATAGCTGGTCAAATCAGTTTAATCATATTTGTCATGCTAATTTTTCCATAAAATGAAGAAAGTCTTGCAGTTTAATTTCATCATAAAAACACTAATTTTAGATATTTCTCTGAAATGGCAAGAACAGTTCTGGGGTTGTCTTCGGAGGATGACAGTCATAAAACAATTATCCTACTTAGAAAATGGAGAGCTAAAAGTGCAAGATTTATACTAAATTAATCTTAGCCAAATCAATACATTACAATTGTTTGTATTGTGGTAGTACATTGGAGTGTCGTCATATTCCTGGTACCAATCCAAAGGCCTGGTACAAATGGAAAAACAACTTATTGATTGAGTGAACTAAGATCAGAGAGATCACTTCTGGATAGATTGATTTAAATTAAAATGAATTAAAATTTATTCGTGATTTTAAACCAGCAAGTAGGAAACCCTGATTGAAGTAATTTATTGTAATCTTGTTTTGTGTTTGTACTTCGTGGTCCTCCTGTGATGCAGGGGAATGGAGTTGATATCTCCTGAGGTCCCTTCCATTTCTAGTACTCTGATTCTTAGTTATTTTTATTTTATTGGTTGGTAATTTTTATTACTGTTAATTTGGTAAAATATTATTGCTGTTAGTTTGCAGCTAAATATAACCATCTCACTAAATATGGTGCTTCTTTTTGCGAATGTGGAAGATACACATTAGCAATACACATTTATTTAAACACTTGTGTAATTTAACACACATTCTCTCATTCTTAATTTTTATATACTTTACAATTTTAGAAGATGACTAATGATGTTTCTGATTTACCAATTGGCATGTGTGATTTTTTAATTTTGTGATTGTCAAGTTCCATTTGGACAGAAATGAAAATTCAATTAATGCTTAAAAACAGCACTTTTTTATTAAAGTAAAACTACTTATGTGTAGGAACTACAGGCAGTCCCCGAGTTACGCGGATCCGACTTATGTCGGATCCGCAGTTACGAACGGGGATTTTTTCGCCCCAGAGGACTGGAGCGGCGGGACGCCTGGTCCCACTGCCCGCCTCCTCCGGGGCGAGAAAAGCTGCTCCCCATCTCCCTGGTCTGCAG